TTGCGCGATTTCACGAGTGCTGCCGACAGTAAAAATAAACAGATGGTTGTTTATTCGTTAATAAGATTGTGAGATTATTTGGAGGATTGTAACCCAGGTTAAAACAAAAGAAACACTGTAGTTGCCTGTCCCTCTCATTCTAAGGTCTATGGTTTAATAACCTATTGCATTACACTATATATTATTAAGTCAACAGTATCAAGTGCATGATCTGTTGTGATTTTAAAAACAAATTAACCCAAAACTTCATATTTTTTCAAGATATATAATTCCATATTTCAAATTTTTCAAAATCTTGTATTTTACGTTTACCTACAATTGTACTGGCTTAAAATTGAAGCAAACTGAAGCGAGGGAGGAAAAAGAGGAGAGCTGTCAATCCCCATGTGCCATTACCGGGTATATCTGTGACATGAAAAAAATGACCATTTTATTCATGTAATGAAAAATTAAATGATCATTATAATACCCATTTAAAAAATAGATTGTCACCCACTCCATCATTAAATAAAAAAATACTATTATTCTGATGAGTGTAAAAATAGTGGTCATTATAACTACCAGTTTGAAAATACTGGTCAATATTTTGACCATTAAAACAGTTCTGGTTGATAATCTGGCCATTAAAAAAATAGTGGCCATTACAATGGCCAGAAGTGACTTTTTGAAGGGGTCTGAGGGGTGAAAAAAACAGAGTTAAAGTGAAATGAAAAAATATTATAACCTCCTCACTAACCTAAAAGCACAAATAAATATTCAAAAGTTGTGAAAATTAAAACTTTCCGAAAGTAATCCGGACGCTGTTTATTATTATATATTCATTTATTCAGTTTTGCATGGTGGAGTTTCGTGAGGTTTATTATTTTTTTCGCGACGTGTTTTTGTTTACTTGTTACGGTTTGACGGATTTTAGTTTATTTGATTTACGTTTTTACGGTAGCTCTGAGCGAGACTCGAACCCACTGTCTTTACAAGCTAATTTTGTTTTATCTTGATGGCACGCTTGTGTACCACGCCACGACCTTGGTCGTTGGTGGTGTTCATTTTTCTAACACTTAAATGTTCCGATGAGTTGAACGGGAAAGCTAAAACGATTGCTGGTTTCTGATTGCTTCGGTTCTGGTGAGTGTGTATCTTGTGTGATTCGAACCCATGTCGTTTGTATTGTGCGTTTTTTTTTCCCATGTTGGCTACGCCGTAATACTAGTATGCAACCACTTCCCCGTTTTGTTGTGATTTTGTGAATGTTAAATGATGTCTTCCTCTCCCGTCACGCCGTGACCCAGTTTCAACCACACGACCATTTAATATGTAATGTCTTAAGTATCTTTATTGTAATTTGTATATACCAATTCGTATATACCGAGAAAACGACCCCGATTGAAGGTCATGTATTTTGTGACGTTACCAATTCGTGTGTAGGTACGGCTTCTAGAACCGTGTGCTTACAAGAGATATACACGAGATTAACCGTAAACTGCGTGTACAAAAATAGATTTACCGTACTCCGTACTGTACACGAGATTTACCCTACATTATACTGTACAAACGAAAAGAGATATACTATATACACTGACTTTTAAATGCTACTTACTTCAATTCCAACGGTGGCTAAAATCAGCCTTATTGATTCCCCCAATCCCCGCCCATCAAAGTATATTAAATGTGCCTTCATTTCGGTGAGCGCCAGGAGGTGTCGGAGATATGAAATGCAGAATGCAAATGAGGAATTACGCAAATGATATACCAGTGGATTGGCTCGATAAACTACGGTAAGGGAAATGTCATTATTTATTTCTTGGGTCGTTTGGTGTTTCAGTGGAGTTGATGGTTACTATGCCCCTTTTTGGCTGTTTCTAACTGCATCGATAGTTTTATTTCCCTTCGGCAAATCTACCATTACTCGAAGACAATAGTGGCATTCAAGTTCAATGACTTGAACCTAATTTTAGTAAAAACTTACTCATAATTCTCGAGAAATTAATCAAACTATCCAGTATGTAAATTAGTTAACAACTTCTTTTTTTGGGTGTTAGTCAACGCTTGACAACATTCTGTTGCATTGCTGAATATTAAAATTTTATAATATTAAGAATAACGGACTTATTGTGCTCCCATGTGTTAATTATGTGTTAACTATGCAAGTTGATTGAGCTGATTAATTTAAAACTGATATAAAGACAGCCTAATGCTGGTCTAGGGATGTATATTGACATTATGAATCACTTTTGTTCTTGTATTGGTATGATACAGAACCTAAAGACACAGTGTAATTAGTATGGAAATTGGATAATAACCTGCAGACTATTATCATTCATATTAGCCAAAATGAAATAGTTAATTGGTATGCAAATTAGCAAATTAATGTGCATATACAATATAATCTTTCATCGTGATATATGGTTTCAACATTTCATTACCAGTGTTATGGGCATAATAATTTATGAAAATATCGCGTGATTAGGTGAGTCCATGTGGTATAAAGCAATTTAAGGTAGAAGCCTACTCATAAATTAAAAAAACCCAGAATTTATTCATTTTGCAATAAATTGTACTCCAAGGCAATATAAGGATATTGACCTAAAAAAAGATGTGTGTCACCAGCCTTTTTTTCGAGAAAATGATGGTTTAATTTTAGTGGGAAATCGCCATTTTGACACTATTATAGCTTTTACCACAGCTTTCTATGGCATAGATATTATGCAATATCTAAAAATCTAGCCTGGTGACATAGGCTGAAAAAATCATATATTGTTAATGATGGAGTACTTTTTGTTGTTCTGAATTATTTAAAAAAGTCTGGGTTTTAAAAAGTGTCAAAAAATGCATTTTTTCTTTAACATTGTGTTCTATGAAAATGTTCTAAAAATAGCAATTTTCAAAAAATATTAGGACGCGTTTCTCAAAAAGCACAACTGTAACCAAAGACATTAGAAAGAGAAATTGTCTTTGCTGTAACACACAAAATAATGCTATTTCATTGTACCATGAGACATTAGCTTCATGATTGTACATAATAAACTAATGAACATTGCCATGCGATTTATGACCAATTTTGTCAAAAATTATGACTAGGCTTCTACCTTAAGTATCAACCTTTACGCTGTGTGTCGTGTGATACGTTGAACTGTGTTACTAAGCAACAATTCATGGAGGCTCTTCTGAAGACACATAAAGCCGGTTCGATAATCAGTCAAATTCTTCAAATTTATCACCGGGGCGGGCACAACATGACCCATATTTGAACTCTGTTTTGGTTCCAATATTTATGGTCAACTTGTATTCTGTTTTTTTTAAACGCAAATTTTCAGATTCTCTGTAATTTTAGCCAAATTTTAGATATTTTTGGCGAAAAATGCAATCCAAAATCAATGTGAGTATCCCCCCCCCCCCTCTCCCCCGGTATATCACATTTTGACATTTGATATATTCTAACGTGAAAGAGTATTATAAATTCAAAATAGCTAATGCTGAACAAAAGTTTACTAACATTTATTTATCTTATTTAATGAAGAATATTGTAATTTGCATGGTTTCAATTTTGCATTCCACATTAAAATGCGCTTTTTTGATGTGTAAACAAAATATTCATAATTTTCACAACAGCTGAAAAAATAAAATGCAAATATTCCAACACTACTACTGAGTACACTACTGAATAAATCTTGAATTTTCAAGGTGAATGTTTCGGCGAAGAGGGAGGAATATCCGAACGGAACAACACCGTGCAGGCGGACGATGTACTGAATACATCTTGAATACAACACGTTAACGACACCGAGTAGGGGTCACCTTCTGGTCAGATACTGAAGCAAAGAAAACACAAACACACAAACAAGATGGCGGACGTCGAGCCCCGCGAAATTGAAGATGGTGACTCCACGCAAAAAACTGAAAATAGTACAGAGAAAGATACAGAAAATAATGGCCAGAGTGAGAAACCAAACCGACTGACCAAGTTTCCATTGTCAAGGGTGAAACATATGATGAAGCTGGACCCCGATGTTACACTCGCTAGTCAGGAATCCGTTTACCTTATAACGAAGGCGACGGTGAGTCATATTTTGAAAATCCATGAGTAACAGTCTCTATTGCCCCAGATAACAAAAAAAAATATCTGTTTATGTCATTTATGCTCAATTTTAAAACAATTAAAACACAGTATATTTAATTATTATGTAGGCTCTAGCAGATTAATGTAATTTCCCCTTTCCAGAAAACTACTATTATTATTATTCTATACTGCTAGTACGTTTCAAAAATAAAATTACACACGGTCGTTTTAAAATTACAAGATACATATACTTCAAATTATACTTCCACTATGGGTCAATTCATTCTATATCCACCCCACCCCCTCACTGATGAAATTTTCCAATGGGTATTAACACCCATTGTCTTGGGCAAACTTCACTCTAAATACAATCGTTTTTTTTTTTTTTTACACAAAGACTGCTTCAAGTTAACTATTTTCTGCGTAAGAAGACATTTGTTTGAAATTTGGATAAACAGCTTATAGAACCTGCTGACCCTGAATTTTTATTTTTTATGGAGTTTTAGAGAAAAAAAAAATATGGATCACAGTTCTAGTATCAGTTGAGTTTCAAATGCCAACTATTAGCGTGGATGTACTAAAAGAAATATTTGATCCACTATCACTGTTATCAACACATGGCTACTCTCAATACACCTTTGTTTTTCAACAATTAGCATGTTTACTTTTTGCGTAACTAGAAAAAGTTTTATCATAAGTCAGGGTCAAGATCTCATATTAATTTAGAGTTAGAGTCTCTGTATGAAGGGAGGAAAAACATTGATGATTTAATTTGTTTCGACCTGATGCATCAATCTAGCTTTCCAGTTAGTATTAAATCTTCATGAGTTGTAGTTGTTATTCAATTGATGAAATTGTAATTTTTAAAACTATAGTTTATTTACTCAGAAATGCTACCATTGTATCACTCACTTACAGTTCAAGAGTAAAAGAGTAAAAAAAAAAACATTGTGTGCTACTTATAACCTGATCTACCCTATTTCTTACTGCTCATCCCTAAACTTTCTTTGGACATATTTGACTTACAAAATTATGGCAGGCTTTTAATGTGATTAAAATGTGGCTTTAAACATGATTTATGACAATTATATCTGCTAATGCAGTTGTAACAAAGAAAAAATATGTAGGAAAATATAAACAAAATCTCTATTCACCTACTCTATTTTGAAACACATGTTGTAGGTACCACAACAATTTTTTTATATGGTCGTATAGTTTTGTCTAAATACTCAGACCAATGGAGATGTGACTATGTTTACCAACTGAATTTAATTTTCACACGGTTCAGCATTTTTATCAGGTTTTGAAAATAAATCATTGCCAACATAAAAAAACAAAATCTTTAGAACAGTCTGCCATATAGAGTTAAATAGTGTATGCATTTTGCTCATTAAAAAACAATAAGAACGAACAGACAAATATTCTTATCACTGGCAAATGCTTGAGACAATATTAATTCCAACTCCTATATATGGTTACTGTACCAATGAACATCATGAACCCTTATTAAGGAAGAAGTTGATAATAACATTTCTAATTTTTTTTTTTTGCTGATGGGTTGGTGCGTTTGGCTGTTTTATTTGTGCAGGTTACTGTCCAAAAACTGTGACTGTAAAATCAATCAAATTTTTTGACATACAGTGTAATTTCATAGTGTCACCCCAGACTGAACAAAATCAAAACAGAGAATGATGTTACAATTGTGGAAATTATGAATATATAATTATTCTATAGTATACAAAATATTTTTTTGAAATGCAGTACTACTTATGCTTCATATACATGTACATGCTATAATTCATTTTTAGGCACTGGAGTGATGGTCATCTCTATCTTGGTTGGTATAGTTTTGGGTGTGAAGTATTGATGCTGTATAATCACTTAAATAGGCGTCATTTTCCGAACATTTCAATCTTTCTTGACACCTAGATTGGACTCAAATTTAGTTTCCCGTAGTCATTGGCACCTATTCAAGAAAATGATTTTTATTACTTTGTTTCGATTATGAGCTTTTATCAATCTTTCAAAAACAACTAATTTCTTGATTAAAAAATATCATGCAGTTTTCCCATCAAAATCAAAACCAAAAGATCGCACTCCAAAATTGGTAAATCTTTCCTGTGGTGTGTTCAACATGAAGTTGCTACAACAATTGCATGAACATGAAGTTCAATAGTGGAAGTGTGTGTAGATCCATATACTTGGCCAACATTTGTCACTGTCAACAAGACTGGGAAAGTGGCCTACAGTTT